AGGTGGATATTTGGTTGGAAAATAATTGCATCATATGGGATGTCAAAGATGGGACAGGACTTGCATTGTGATACTGGGTGTGGTAGAGGGAGTAATGTTACCAAACTGTTGGATAAGCAGGGAGATTCTTTATGAGTCCAGTAATGCTTTGATGAAACTTATTCCAAAAGAAGGTGTAATTTAGAAATGAGAGGATAGGAAGAGAGTTGATAGATTTTAAAAAAGAATCGGTCCGAAAGATATTGTCTTCTTAGGTAAAGAGGGGGATCTACACATTCGACTTGGAGAGCATTTATTGGGGAAGATTTCATTGCCCCAATGATTATACGAAGGCTTTTCGTCTGAATCCTGTCTAGGATCTTTAGGGAAGACTTATTACATGGTTCCAAGACAAAGCACGCATAATCCAAATGACTACGAATAAGGGCGTTGTACAATATTTTTTGAGAGAATGGGTGGGAGCCCCACCAAACTCCCGATAAAGCGCGAAGAATATTTATATTTTTTTCACATTTTTTGAGACATAGTTGATATGATGAGAAAAGGTTAGTTTGGAGTCAAGAATAACTCCCAAAAATTTTACATTCTCCCTGATAGGGATAGGTTCATTATTATAGAGAATGTCGATTTCAGGGAGTTGCCTATGGCGAGAGAAGATGACAACACTGCTTTTGGGAACAGACAAGGACAAACCATGATCAGTTAACCAATCTTGTAAATAGGACATTGATAAATTCAAGCGGGAACAAGCTGTAGCAAGGTTATCCAAGGAAATATATATAGCTATATCGTCTGCATATTGGAGGATGTTACAGAATGAGTTAACAGAAAGTTCTAGATCATAAGTATAGATAGAATAGAGCAAAGGACTAAGTACCCCTTGTGACCCTTGTGGCAGACCCTTCCATACAATTCGTGGCGGGAGTTGAGAATTTTGACTATCAATATAAATGGATCTAGAAGAGAGAAAGTTAGAGACAAAATTTACTATCCTCACTGGAATACTCAGATTAAGCATTTTTTGCCTGAGCACAGGAAGAAGTACATTGTCATATGCAGACGAGATATCTAGAAAGACACTAACAAGGTATTCATGTTTAGAGTAAGCTATACGAATATCAGTAACTAGAGTACTAAGGCTATCCATGGTGCTTAAGCCCTTTCGGAATCCAAATTGGCTTTTTGCTTTCAAGAAACCATTCTAAACGATTTTTTATTAGGTGTTCAAGAATTTTGGCCATGGTACAAGAAAGAGCAATAGGGTGGTAGCTTGAGGGATCAGTGTGAGGCTTACCTGGTTTGTAAATAGGTAAAATAACTTGGGATTTCCAATCTTCAGGAGGAATACCGGACATGTAAATACAATTTAAAATAGAAAGAAGATGGGCTTTAGTAGGTTCACTGCTATTAGTAATAAAAGAATAAGGAATTCCATCGATTCCTGGTGAAGAGTCTTTAAGGACACTAAGAACAGCATATAACTCCTCATAAGAGAAAGAGGAGTCAAAACTGTGTTGATAGTGCAAGGACTGTGATTGAAATGCTATACTTTCTTTGTAAGATGGTACTGAAGGAGGAGCAAGATTACTAGCAAAATTTTCAAGCCAATAAAACTGATCATTAGAAATTGTGTTTTCAGAGGCCAAAACTGAACATCGGAATTTTTTAATATTTTTCCAGACTAATGATGGACGAGTCCTAGGCGACAGTGACTCACAGAATTTAAGCCATCCAGCCTTTTTCTTCCCAGATAATAATTTTAATGTTTCAGCAGCAGTTTTTTTATAAAAAAAATATAGTTGTCAAAATTCATAGAGAGGGAATATCTTACTTCAGCTTCCTTTCTCTTCTTACATGGTACAGAACAATCTTGATCCCACCAAGGTGGTGAAGGAGCATTATTTTTGTAAGGTTTTTTGATGGGGATTGTCTTATTGGCAGCAGATAAAATAGCATTTTTAAAAGTAGAATACGCCTGAAGAACATTATGTTTCTGTACAGGAAGAAAGGCTGATAGTTCTTCCTCTAGAACTGTGGAATATAGTTGCCAGTTTGCTTTGGATGTGTTATATTTAAACCTAGGATTAAATGGAACATTGACTGTATAGGAGCTAGGGGGATTAATAACAATAGAGAAATGATCACTGCCATGGGAAAAGGGTAATATTCTCCAAGAAAGAAGGGACGATAGGGCAGGGGAACAGAGTGACAGATCTACTGCACTTTTAGGATTTTGGAGGGGGGATACTCGACGTGTAGGTGAACCATCGTTAAGGAGGCAGAGATCTCAATCATCAATGATGTCTAAATATGTAGAAGACCAGGGATCACAAAAATGGGAGCCCCATAAAGTGTGGTGCATATTAAAATCACCAAGAATTACCATAGGAGGAGGGATGGATAATCCTCGTAAGTTCTGACAAGATATTTAAACTAGGTTCGGGAATGTAAATAGAGAGAAAAGAAGTGTTATGAGCTCTAACTGCTACAGCATTAATTGAAGGACTATGAGAAGGAAGGGAAATTAATGTATAAGTAATTGATTTTGAGATACGAATGAAAGAGCCAGCATGACCATCATTCCTATCATCCCTGAGGCATGAATAACCTGAGATCCTTAAATGGGACCCAGGCTCATGCCATGTCTCTTGGATGGCTAGGATGAGGGGATGGTATTTATTAATAAGGTAAATTAATTCATTTTTCTTATTATTAATACTCCGGCATTTCCACTGAAGTATTGGAGGGAAGGTTATTTGTTAATGAAATGAGCTCAGTAAGTTTTTGGCGGCCTTCGATTATACCAATATAAAAGTTCAACCAAGCGTGGATCCATCACAGACGTCAACTTCACTGTGACAACTGTGTGAAGACTGCTGCTATTCGTTTTTCACACGAATGAAAATCTACAGTATGAACACCCGGGTGATTAAAAAAACGAATACAAAGAAAATTTGCAGGACAATGTCGTATGAACCCAGTCTAAAATACCATAGCGTTGGTATATAAACATCGTTTATGGAAGAGCTGATTTTGACCTTTTTCAATTCTCGAAAATATCCATTCCTAAAAATATCAATATTTTTTTCGTATGTAGCAGCTTCTTCTAGTATGGGGACGACATCTATACATGCACGTGTCCTTTTTTGTTTATTTGTGTAGTCCGGACTGGAAGTATTCCACAAACATGTATAGAATTGGTATTTTTCAATAAATCTCGTCATATTTTTGCAATCCGACGATTTGATTTTTTTACTTTTGATATTTGAACTTGTATTTTTTTTCTTTAAAATTAAATGTAAGTCTTTAGTGGGACACCTAAGCTATTTTTATTAATAATATAATCATAAAACGTAATAAAATGTTTTGTTTCTTTTATTTACCATGTCGCAGGGTATGCGCGTAAAGATTTAAGTTGACTGACAGCTGAGCAAACGCATACTATACAAAATTATAAGTCTGCTGTAGAGCCAGTATCCATATGATGTTTGATGCACGACAGCCTTGACCAACTTCTTACTAGTTTGTGGTTATAATTGCGCTAGCACTTCTTACTAGTTTGTGGCCTTGACGTACGTGCGATCTATTGTTTACCAATTAGCACGATACGAAAAATAGTGGGAAGGCTTGCAGGATAATGCTTCCAGCGTGTCCAACAAGGAATTAATAATAATTATTCACGTACGTCAAGCCTACTCATTGTTGTTTTGCGTCTTGCGTCGTGTATGACTTTACATACAGCAAGATGGATCGTGAATAAGACGATTAACGATATGACTACTCCCCTCGTACGTTAAGACGTTTTGTGTCGTGCGTCATTCATGATCTTCGCGGGACGTACAACAAGACGAACCGTGAATAGGGCGCTTGGTGAGATTTATAGAGAATAGTGTTTTTTGCACCAGATCCAACTTCAAAACTGTCAAAATATTCACACTCTTTCGTAAATTTCTAAATTTTCTCACTAAACAAAGTTTTTAGTTAATAACTGCATATGTACAGAACTGAGTAAAGATATATATTAAAAATATCAATGATTGCATTAAAGACTTACGTCAAAGAAATAAAAGCTAACTTTGGATTGCAAATCTTCTGGACTGAAAATCCAAAATCATCCGAAGAATGATCTTCGTCCCACCAGCTAGCGGGGGCGCCAGCTTGGTATTTTCATTTACAACAATTAAAGTTTAAAGTTAGCGAAAAGAATATTTGCTTTGTAATAGAATAATTATCTTCACTTGATTTAGAAAACAATTTACTTGACCATTCGAATAATAATAAGTATAGTCATATTTTCTTTATATTTTTAGACTTATTATAAAGTAATAAAAATAAATAACTAAATAAAACCGAGTATATCGATGTCGATTTTTGCTAACATTGCGAACGAAATCAGTATAGATTAAAGACGTCATGTCTTGTAAAATAACGTCACATATTATAATACTCATGTTCGATGACTCGATGTCATTATTCTAGTAAATCAGAAGATACGAGTGTACGTACTCTCGTAGTCCCGTATTTGGCATAGCATAAAGAGCATGAAGCAAAAACTTTGTATTTGCTTCACGATAAAGAGACACAAGATGACTACTTGACATTTCTATTTCCACGCATGAATTACACGCAACATCTTTCAATAGATTTCTCCTTTTGCCTTATTTGAAAATAAAATTAAGAAAATCACATACGACAATTATATTGACTCAATTTATATAAAACTGTAGGTTCTCTCTATGCATACGTATGTATGTAATTACTCTAAGACTCAGCCATGGACATACTTGCGTTAGCACTTCTTATTAGTTTGTGGACTTACTATACAAACAAAGATATATATCAACATTATCTATGAGTAATACCTACATAATATATATTACTTATCTATGGGTTATACTATTTTTATCTGTGGTCAGGCGCTTATCGTCAAATTATAGTTAATAAAGTGCTACATAATTTTGCTGTTCTTCTAAAGTACATAGTCATCGATATCAGTTAAAATGGCAGAAGGCCAAGAAGAACCGAAAAAAATAACAATTACAGTAAAAACTCCTAAGGAGAAACAACAAGTAGAAATTGAGGAAGATGCTGACATCAAAAAAGTATGTTCGACTTTTATAAACCCTTAATAAATGGCGTAATAACAGATATTGCACACGCAATCAGTGATGAGTTGTTTTAATCATTCAAAGATAGTGAATTATTATTTCAATTCTTTTTGTAGCTCAAAGATGTGCTGTCTCCAAAGTTCAACGCCGAACCTGAACAGTTATGTCTAATTTTTGCTGGGAAAATTATGAATGATAGCGATACTTTGAAGCAACATAATATTAAGGATGGCTTGACCATACATCTAGTTATCAAGACGCCACCAAGACCAGAGCCTGAAGGAGGCACACGCCGTCCACCAGGTAAGTTTTACTTAACATCACTCATTATTTTTAATTCAACTATAATCTTTCAGTTCTTAGAATGTACTAGAGAATTAATTATTAATGTATATTATATATTAAAAGGCTCATTTGCTTTAACTAAATGAGATATATAGATATTATTGTGTATTATTGGAAGAACATTTTAAAATTAAGTAATCGTAGACTATTGAATTATTCAAAAATATAAACAAAGTTCAGTTATTGGGTGCGTTGAAATTTAAAAGAAACCATTGTAATCTTACCTTGGAAACATCATAATACATATTATACAAAGATACAGTTGAATTGTTAACCTACAGCTGTTTTATAAAAGTCTTTTTTTTCATTGAAGAGTATAGTACAGATGTTTTAACTTGACCAACCTAAATACAGGCTCTCTAAACTTGTCTAAATCAGTATTGCCTTAACCACTCAAGCATCCAGCCCGTGCGATTGTTATACCCTTGTAAGTCCAGATAAGTGTGGCCCTGATTCGGCTGCTACCGTGCTCGCATGTTGTAATAAAAAACCTACATAGCCACTTAACTGTAATAGCTAGAATAAAGAAAAAAGCTACGAAAAATTGATAGAAGAATACAACTTAGACCTATGTATGTTTTAAGATCCAAAATAATAATTTAAGATATTAAAAATTGGTGTGAACATAGAATTCGGAGAAAAATAAACGTATAAATTATGTTAATTTACATCACAACCAAGAAATATTGTATTTTTTACAAATAATTCAATGTCAGAAAAAACAAACACCTATGCATCATAAGACAGATAAATATGTCTAGCACCTACTCCTCATAATTTTACCGCAAGGTCTCTAGCGCCTTCGACTCGCTCGCAAAGGCAAAATATAAGCAAGATGGCCGCCTATCGAAGGTCTCATTCACACTTTGTAATTTAAAAAAGGTAGTTATGAGTTTTTTTAGATGAGGTTTTAAATTAAACACCAATAATAAAATCAAGTTTATTGCATAATAAACATTTTTTTTTTCACAAAACCATATTATTACCATCCACTTTTTAAACAAATTATGCCAAGCGAAAACCATATACTGAAAAATGAATGATTTTTATTAAATATGACAAATTATTGTCAATACATAACAAGGGAAATCAAGTGAGTTGATATCGTAGAACACATCCTTCATGTAAATAAAGTGGTGATAAATAAAAAGAGAGTAAAAGTCGACAATCGTAAACAAAAATAACATTATAACACAAGAACAAACCTATGAGATAAGAGCATGACAAAACACCAAGCGAAAGAAAAACTCATAACCCAAACCAATCAAGACCGAGGCTGCAAAAAATAACAAAGCAAAACATATAGCAAACATATTTTACTATTTGTACGGACCCTTATTTAGAACCATTGTGGTTACGTCCATGGATACCAAACTATCCACAACAAAAGACCCGAGGAACATAATTAGATTTTTAAGGAATCTTCAATGAATACAGTTTAATTCCGTTTTAAAGTGCATTATTATATTCATTAAGAACTATCATTCGTTGCTTAAATTTAATTTTACTGAAAAACAAAGTAAACAAAATTGAAATTGGGCCGACGACTTCATAATGGCCATTTTTTTGAAATAGTTATAGTTTTAATTTAAAATATGATTCGATTTTACACTTAGAACTGTGATATGTAATTATAAATAATGATACGTAATTATAAAGCCCAAATCATCTAGTTTACTATGTTGTATAATAATATAAGAAATATTAAATAAAACTGAAAGACTTACGACATAATCGCTGGCACCACAAAAACACAAAACACTGAGTGTAGAGTAGACTGAAGCACTGAAGTTAGATAATTATTTCTTCATTTGTCAAGGCTTGTTACACTGCCATCTCGTATTTAGTGCGTAAAATAGTTCCCTAGCTAGAGCTATCGACTCCCATGTACAAAACTCGCAAAAATAACCACAGCTGTACATAGATGTCAGTTTTATAAAACTTGACACTATGGATACTATAGTATCCAGGACTTACAACACTACTTTTATTTTGGATACCGTTATATCCATGGATGTTTGAGTGGATATTGCAAAAAATAAACTGAAATGATCAATTTCCAAAAGTCACCAGATTGAGCTTAATATTTGTCAAGCTAAATAATAATTTATCTTAGGTATTTCTTTGACATCCATTTGAAAAATAATCAAGCAAGAACCACCACATACATAGTTATTTTTCTCCAATTTCACTGCAAAAAAAGCCCATGATAGAAATATATTGATCTTGAAGAAACAGAACTTCATAGAAATAATATTTAGTAATTTACACAAAGGTTTTTTAAATTCTGACCCTTTTTACTGGAAACGAGGCATTCCACCTTAGTCCTCACGGGTGACAACCCATCTGCATTTTGATTCGTAATCGAGGATAGATGTAGATGTCTATGGGCCACAGCAACCACTTACCATCAGGTGGATTGTGTGCTCGTTTGTCACCCTATCCTATAAAAAAAATTCTTAATATAAAACTTAATTTTTCTATAATATTTCTAAGATGAAAAAGCTGTCACAGTGAATAAAGATGGGACATAACAATAAAATAAAGACAGATCCACATGGTATGTTCTAAAATAATAAATATTTATAAAAATAATTTTTAAACAGCTAACAATTTGTTTATAGTTCTCTGATGAACAAATACATAAACTATATGCTGAAATTATATAAGTCAGTAACATAAGTTTTTGTATTTAAAAAAAAATTAATCATTCATTAGTTTCAGTCAAATTCACCGAAAAAATAATCAACCACTAAATATTACAAATATATTGCCAAAGGATTTCTGAAAATTTCCCACAGATCTAGCAATAGAGTTGCCCTACATAATGTTTTCTTATAATTCTTTTATTGTAATTCATTGTAATGACAATTAAATTAGAACAAAATAAAAGTTTAATCTTTATTAAATAAAATTTAAATTTAATGAAATTTCATTAAATTAAATAATATTTCATTATCATTTGTGTGTTCATGTTCTCACAAAACTATTTGTTTATTATTGATTATTTTAATTTAAGATATAATTTTATGTTTTGAAAATATTTGGCTAATAGATCATATTATGTATTTAATACATGATCATTACCTGGTACAGCACCAGGTAATGATCATGTATTAAATACCAATACCAAATTTTTTAATGCAAGTTGGCAAATATAATTATTAAAACAGTAAGATATATGAATAATCTTTATATATAAAAATTATGTGTCACATTGTTTGTCCGTGATGAACTACTGAATTGATTTCAATGAAATTTTGCACACTGTTTGCAGTTTGGTCCAACTTGAGAGATATTATAGTTTTTATCCCGATAAGTGACCCTTAACATTTTTTACTAGGAATTTAAGGATTTTTTTATTGGAGAAAGGGTCAACTCAGGGAAGGGCAGAACAACGTCTGCCCTTTCCTGAGATGACAACTAGTATACTTATAGTAACTAGTATAATTATGAAAATATGCATAATCACTATTACTTATTTTTACACATAAACCATAGTCTCTTAAGATTAGATCCTATTCTTAAGAAAAACAGTTAAGCAGTACTTAATAGTACCTACATTTATGTTATATTGCTGAAATGTAATATTTCATTTGATTGCCAGTAATTAGAAATTTTTGTAATGACATCAGACAAATAGTATAATGAAAACAGGCAACAACACATACATGGGGATCATTAATGAAAGCTATTGTTTTTTCTACCATTTTATTTTTAATGTTACTGTGTATGCAAATCCACACCTCTATCATTTAGTTCCTAAAATGACCTACTGCCCCATGTTTTGCACATAGTTAGGGATGGCCAAGTTAAAACGGCTGTACTGTAACTCCTTGTTATTAAGATGTTAGTAAATTTAATTAAAAAATATATTTATATAGGGTAATGAAAGTATTAGCATCACATCTGTAGGTTTTTTTGCAAGATACCTGCTTCATTAATGAATTTAATTGTTATTTTTATTGTTAAGGTTTGTAATAAACAAAACTCATTTTCAGCTGATATTAGCGCTACACCATTTGGATTAAATTCACTTGGCGGTCTTGCAGGCCTAGAAAGTCTTGGTCTAGGTCAGAGTACTTTTATGGACTTGCAGGTAATACTTTATACTATTCTAGCGATTACTTGGATAAGATCTATTAATGTGGTGATATTTAGTTTTAAGATAATTAAAAACCATTTATTTTATCAACATTTCATATATATATTTTTTGTCTAGTTTTGTCGTAGTTTTTTGGATAAAATATAGTCGTAAGTCACTCCTGGCATTGTTCTCTATTTGTTTATGAAGTTTCATACAATTGGTTCAACCATTCCAAAGATTAGCCTACACAGATGGACATACAGACAGATGAAAAAAAAAATAGTTATTCATGACATAATGTCATGCAACTAATCTCAACTAAAATATAAGGCAGCGATTCCAATATTATAGATAGACACTTCAATTTTATTTATATGTATAGATTATTTTGTCTTTATAATTAAAGGATATAACTTTTAATGATTTATTATATTTATGTGAACGCTACACATTTAATAAATTACATTAATACATTGAATAAAACTATGTTTAAGGATTTTATTTAATTTTAAATTAAATGTGATCCTTAAACATTGTTTTATATAACTGATACTTTAAGTTTTGTAGAAATATTTGGCTTTCTCATATACATTTTCATTAAAATGACTATGACTAAATGTCTAACAAGTTGCCAACTATGCTTGGGGTCACTATGATGCTTTATAATGTGATGAATCATAATAATTTTTGTATATCTCCCTTAATATATTTTCTTTATTTCAGGCAAGAATGCAGCAGGAACTCCTATCAAATCCTGACATGCTAAGGCAAGTTTTGGACAATCCACTAGTGCAACAAATGATGAATGACCCAGAGAATATGCGTTCACTTATTACATCTAATCCCCAAATGCAGGACTTGATGGCTGTAAGTAATATTAAGAGCTTTATTTTTCCTTTTGCAGTGTCAAATTTTGAATAAAAATATTTGTCTTTGACTTTGTACAGCCTGGTTTCATAAAACAATTACATTCATTTCATTATGATACCCATACACAATGACTTGAAGACGACATATTCAGACAATCGTAACATAATAATAGGTCGGGGTAAATTTTCTGTGTATTTTGTTTGTATAAAATTGATGAAAAATCTCTTTGGTTGTACTGTTTGTATTTGGTTGCTTTTAATTTCAAAAAAAGTAAAAGACACTTTCCCGTCACTTTTAATGGTTTTTCTGTCCGCGAAAATGAGTGAAACTAACTAAGACTAACGAAAAATGCTACTCAAGCCGCGAAAATAATTTGTGATGTTTATAATCCTAATGCAGTGTTAGTAACAGTAGCAGTATCAAGTTGGTTCATGCGTTTTCAGTCTGGGAATTTTGATGTCAAAGATGCAGCTCGCTCTGGCACCCCCGTATGGATAATGTCGATGCCATTTTTTAAAAAGTCGAGCAAGATCGGCATATTAGTAGTTTCGACATAAAACAGTTTCGACCCATTTGAATAAGTCTGGCTATGCAAAACAAGCTTGATAATACTTGATATTATTCAGGTACCACACAAACTCACTGAAAGAAACCTAATGAATCATGTACTCATTTGCAATTTTCTGTAGAAACGTAATGAAACCGAACCATTTTTGAAAAGATTGATCATTGGTGATGAAAAGTTGATTACCTACTATAAGAATGTGCGAAAAAGATCATGGTCAAAGAGTAGTCAAGCTCCACAGACTATTGAAACCTGGATTAACATACAATAAGGTGCAAGTGAAGGGCATTGTTTATTATGAGCTTTTACCGCCGGGCAAAATCATCAATTCGGATCTCTACTGCCAACAACTAATGAGACTCAAGCAAGAAATTGAGAAAAAATGGCTGGAATTGATCAATAGAAAAGGAGTGGTCTTTCATCATGATAATGCCAGACCACACACATCTTTGGCCACTCAGCAAAAATGGAGAGAGCTTTGTTAGGAACTCTTAATGCATCCACCATATAGTTGTAGAGCCACACTGCAGCTTCTGCTGTATCATGGATGAGCCGGCTCGAACCAGGGCAGTACCACATCCTCACAGAATACCAGCGTGTAGTAGAGGTTTACCTCTGCGTTTCGCTTGGTGAGTGCAGGTGGAAAAATGGGTGGAGGGGGGGGGCAAAATTCTGCTCTATATTTTTCCTCTCCGGCTGATACTTTGTATCTGTCCTCTACCCGGAGTACAAATTAGAATACTTCTCTGTGCCCTGAGCTGGAGTGCGTATACTTCAGTGAGGATATCTGTTCTCGATGCCTCGGCAGTCTTGAAGGTACAGACCTGTCCATCCTCTATCTGTGCGTAGACAGTGACGACCATCCCCGCGTCTAGGGGTGCCTGTATAGGTCCCATAGCGGTAATGCCGACACAGATCGACTCATCGGCCATCCCTTGGCATATGGTTTGACACAACTGGTTACTTCGCCTACGCGGATTCCAGATGTGGAGGATCATAAACCTTCCTTGTTGGACCTTCTGCTGACTGCTGTTTCCGTTGATGCCCCTCTCGGCTCTTCGGACCATTGTCTGATCCGGAGTGTGGTGCCACTCACACTTCCCTCGCGGTTGCGTTCTGCAGGCTGCCGTCGTGTTGGCATTACAGGTTAGCGGATTGGGACAGAATGCGGTCTTTCTTTGCATCCTACCCATGGGGTTTGCTTTTTGCCAGATGATCCCATGTTGCTGACTCTGTCGCTGATGTGGTGCTACAGGGAATGGAACTATTTATTCCATCATCTGTGGTACCCATCGGCGGCAGATCTCAGCCTTGGCTTGGTCGCTCCTATAAGACTGCTTTACGTAGTAAGTTGTCAGGCCTAGACTGAAGCTTCGACGGCTCGGGATGTAAACACCAGCATGCTTAAAAAGAAGTATAACTTCGCCTCCAGGTCCTTCAAAAGAGTTATTGCCAAGGCAAAGTATGAGCACATTGGCAGAATTGGCGAGAAATTAGTTCGCCTTCCATCGGGGACCCGTGCATTCTGATCTCTCGCCAAGGCTGTTCAAGGGAATTTCTGTAAGCCATCACTACCATCTCTGCACAGGGAGGATGATTTACGGGGGAACATACCGCCGACCATCCCGCGGTGTGAGTGCTCCATGCCTGATGTGCGATTCACAGTGCTCAGCACGCATAGCACTCCTTTCTCTGGACATATACAAGTCGAGTGGGCCTGACAGAATCCCGCCAATTGTGCTGAGGACGTGTGCTCCAGAGTTGGCACCGGTTCTAACGCGTCTTTTCCGGTACTCCTACTCCCTAGGCGTTATCCCGAATTCATGGAAGACAGCTTTCGTGCACCCGATCCCTAAAAAAGGTAACTACAGACCTATCGCCATTACCTTGTTTTCGGAAATAATTGAGTCCATTATTAACTGCCAGCTCATGCGGTACCTTGAGGTACACCAGTTGATTAGTGACCGCCAGTACGGTTTCCGTCGGGGTCGCTCAGCTGGTGATCTTCTTCTTTACCTAACACATAGATGGGCGCAGGCCATCGAGTCCAAGGGGGAGGCATTGGCCGTTAGTTTGGACATAGCGAAGGCCTTCGATCGGGTCTGGCACAAAGCGCTTCTTTCGAAGCTTCCTTCCTATGGGATTCCCGAGAAATCATGCAATTGGATCACCAGTTTTTTGGCTGATCGGAGCATGAAGGTCGTAGTAGACGGTGCATGCTCCGATTACAAGACTATTAACGCCGGTGTTCCACAAGGCTGCGTGCTATCACCAACGCTGTTTCTTCTGCATATCAATAATATGTTGCAAACCGGTAACATTCATTGCTATGCGGATGCACTGGTGATTTTCTATACACCGGCCGTGCTAATATTTCTCGGGAAAACGTCGTCGAGTACTGGAACAAACTTGTGTCTGAAGTCGAGTCTTTGCCGAACAAAGTCTCGGATGGGTCGTAGTCCAGTTTAATTCTCAGCAGACACTAGTTTGCGCGTTTACCGCTAAAAAGAACCCCTTTGTCGTATCTCCTCAGTTTCAAGGCACTCCCCTTCTTGCCTCAGCCAGTATCGGAATCCTCAGCGTCGACATATCAAGTGACGTGCAGTTTTGTGATCACTTGGAAGAGAATGACAAATTGGCCTCTAAAAAGCTCGGCGTGCTTAGCAGAGCGGGACAGTATTTCATGCCGGCACACCGCTTGCAACTTTACAAGGCGCAGGTTTGGCCTCACATGGAATACTGTTCCCATCTCAGGGCTGAGGCTTCCCAATGCCGGCTCCTACCACTTGACCGCATCCAGCGCAAAGCGGCTCGAATCGTCGACGACCGAGTCCTTTCTGATCGGCTGGATTCACTGACGCTGCGAAGAGATGTTGCATATCTGTGTATTTTATCGCATCTACCACGGGGAGCGCTCTGAGGAATTGTTCGGACTAATTCCAGTCGCTCAATTTCACCATTGCACATCGCGACAAAACGCGCGATACCATCCACACTATCTGGACGATTGGCGGTCCAACACTGTGGACACTGTGTGTGTTTAGAAGATGATTTCTTCCTATCACACTTTCCTTGATCCTAGCATAGCTATGAACTAACCAAAATATGAGTGTGAATAAGACCTCTATGAAAGCTAATATTTTCCCTCTCACCAGTTGTCGCTAATTGGGAGTGAGGTGAAGTTTATTTGTTACACAAGGTCATTATAATTGAGAAATTGCGTTTTAATTAAAAGTCTATCGGTTGCTAGAGTGTGTAAATACACAAAGCAATGCCTCCGTGGTTGCTCTTTGAATTTTACTCTTTTTTTAATTTTTGTACTTTTAGGAATATACGATATTTGGTTTATCCATTTTTTATCTAATCAATATAAAACATAACTAATATTTTAGAAAAAAACATTAAAACCCTTACATTTTTCGAACAAATTAACTTTCTCCTTATTCCAAGTGGAGCTACCCTACCCTGGTGGCAGAAAAAGTTGTGGATGCCCTCATTGGTCAAGTCCATCAGAAGTTACGCAATCACAAACAGCACCAACGATTATATAGATCATTTCTATAAATTTTCATAAGATATGAAAATCAAGTTATATTTCTATTTCAGAGAAATCCAGAGATAAGTCACATGCTGAACAATCCCGAGCTACTACGCCAGACTATGGAATTGGCTCGTAATCCTGCAATGCTTCAAGAACTGATGAGATCGCATGACCGGGCACTTTCAAATCTCGAAAGTATACCAGGTAATTGTAGCTGAAAAGTCCATAACACTGGTTATTCTTTTACAATTCAGTACAAAAGATGGGTGTAACCCATTCAGAGCTGGTCATATATGTTGTTCTATACTTTGACTTTCATAGCAAATTAATAGTTATGAAATACACAAACTTACATGTTAATAAGTGATGTAATATTCTGGCTCGCTCCGGTCTTTTAATGTAAAAAGTTTCACTGTAATTGGGTTAATGGTGTAAGAACACATAAGACAAAATATTCTTTATTTCTGTCAGAAATCTTCGCGGGCGCGCACAAATCAACTAAAAACCGAGTAGCTTTCCAGTCAAACATTAAGTTTTTCTGGAAAACCATCAAAACAGCCAGAGGTAAAACTTCTACCTCGGAGCTGAGTACAATCAGGAGTCAAGATGGGAGCATTATAAAAGGAGAAGAATGTGTGTTAAAGAGATGGAAAGAGTATTTTGAAAGTTTGTTTGAAAGAGAGGAAGTGCAGGTACAGCATCTGCCACCTTCCACGGAAACTAATATAAATGTTGATGAAAATGAGATAAGCATGGATGAAATAGTGAAAGCGTTGAAAAGTATGAGATTAGGTAAGGCTGCAGGGTATGACAGGATTACCGTCGAGATGCTGAGGGCTGGACAGGGCCTGGTGGCTAGTCAGCTATACCGCCTTTTCAATCTGTGCTGGCGAAATGGGCAAGTACCGCGAGACTGGTGCAAAGCCGTAATCGTGGCATTGTATAAGGGAAAAGGGTCACGGCAGGATGGCATAAATTACCGCGGTATAAGCCTTCTCAGCGTCGTCGGTAAATTGTATGCGAAAGTGTTGATTGAAAGGGTTGTGAATGAAACAGACGAGAAAGTATGGGATGCACAAGCGGGATTTAGAAAGGGAATGGGATGTACGGATCAGGTCTTTTCCTTGCGGTGCATAGCCGAAAAGTATTTGGCTAAAAACAAGAAAGTCTACTGCGCGTTCGTAGATCTAGAAAAGGCCTATGATAGAGTGGAGAGAAATGAATTGTGGTCAGCACTGTCTGTGAACGGTGTGAGCAGTATCCTCATACGAGCAATGCAATCTCTTTATAGGGATTCTAGTGCTTGTGTAAGGATAAACGGGGCATACACTGAATGGTTTAATATCGAAAAATGTGTTAGACAGGGATGTGTAGCGTCACCGTGGCTGTTTAATCTGTTCATGGACAATTGTTTGACAGATTTAAAAGAGAATGAAAGTGGGTTGAGAATGAATGAGTTACTCGTCAAATGTTTTCTCTATGCTGATGACCAAGTATTACTTGCGTCTTCGGCCGAGGAGTTGTAGGAGATGGTAACTGCTATGATTGGAGCTTTTGTTAGAAAGGGAATGAAGATGAATGTAAGGAAGACGAAAGTGATGGTGTTTGAAAAAGATGAGGCAGTGACAGACTGCAATATTGTGATTGAATATGAACAAATTGAACAGGTGAAAGAGTTTGTGTATTTGGGTTCAAAGTTTACAAGAGATGGAAAGTGTGAGAGTGATATCGAAAGAAGAGTGAATGCAGGAAACATGGTGAATGGAGCTTTGCACTCCTTTATGAGCAGTCTGAAGGTGTCTAACAAGGCACGTTTGGCTGTGCATGAGGGAGTGTTGGTTCCGACACTCATGTACGGAAGTGAAACTTGGGTATGGCAGAAGAAACATGAAAGCAGAATAAATGCAGTTGAGATGAGAGCATTAAGAAGTATGATAGGAGTTAAACTGAGTGACAGGATAAGAAATAGTGAGATAAGGAAACATTGTGGTCTGAAAGAAGATGTAGTGACAAAAATTGAGAAAGGTATGCTGAGATGGTTTTGGCCATGTAGAGAGAATGAATGAAGAACGATTGACGAAAAAAGTGTATAAGGTGAGTGTGAATGAGTGTTGGAAGGGGTAGACCTAGGCGGACATTTCTAGACCAAATCAGGGACGTCTTGAAAAAAGGCTAGGTCAAGAGTACCCTAAACCGTAGAGCATGTATGAAGGGAATAATGAAAGTGGACGACGCAAAACAAGTATGTAAGGATCGTAGCAAGTGGAAAGAACTGGTCTCTGCCTACCCCTACGGGAAAGAGGCGTGATTATATGTATGTATGTATGTATACTATTTTCGTACACACTTTGTAAGACTACCAACACAACACACAAACAAAATATTTTTATATGAAGTTATTATTAGTAATAACTATACTGTTTATACAAATAATTAAAATTGAAGTGTCTGTTTGTAATGTCAACATAAGAGCTTTTTACTAAATGCATATGAAAGTATTTACGGTACTTATAACAAAAAACAATTTTTAATATGTTTGTCTGTCTGTTTGTTCCGTCTAATCTCCGAAACGGCTGGACCGATTTTGACGGGATTTTCACTGGCAGATAACTGATGTTATAAGGAGTAACTTTTATTTAAGTAAAAGAATTAGGCTTCCGCGCAAAAAATTAAAACCCATGATATCCAATAGTAACGCGTGCTTAGTCTCGGGGAATAGCTAGTCAGTAATAATAAAAATAAAAGTGATATGGTTGAAAATAAGTCTCTTACAAAGAACTTTCTGCAATAATACATTATCTCAATCATAGAACTATGTAACAATTCCAATTAATGTTACGGCAACTATGGCGCAAAAGATTGCCATAAATATTATTAAAAAAATGTCACGAAAAGCGTGGTCTGTCTGTGATCTGTCACTGATGCTTCTGCGCTTTTCGTGTCGGTTGCGTTAGTGTTATATTACGTTGATACAATAATCTAAAAATCTCAATTATGTAGGCAGGCACATTATGATGAGAATGTATTAAGCTAACATCAAACAACCACAGGACGCATGACTTTTTCCAAGTAACATAAGACATAACCTAAAAAGGTTCAAATCTAAATATCTTTTTTTTTTACGCCTTCTCAGGAGAAAGTTCTATGACAAAGTTACTCAGGGACTGACGCTTAACCATTTAAGATATTTTTTGATATATAGACGCTACCATTTCTTCTCAAATAATTGAAATGTATGAAAGTCTGCCATTGTTATTTTAGTGTATGAGAATAAAATTGATACATCTACATTTCAAATGACACATGAAAGAAGTTATATAATTAAATAACTGCATTGCGTTTGCCAGTAAACTCATAATACTCTATTTTCTTTCGTATCCATATGCAAGGAATATTTAAATAAGAATATAGATTATTTTAACATATTAATGAAAGCCAACTGTAGTTAGTTCTAAACATACTTAATTTTTTAAACTCAGCCTAGTTTTACTCTTGGGCTTGTTGCCGGTCGCATGTTTGCGGTCGGTAGGTGTAGCCTTTTCATTACAGTCTTGCGTGCGCACTTGATCAAACCCGTAGTGTACAGTCAAGGACACGAATAGTAAAAAATATATTCTGGGCTATATCATTACAAGGTGCATTTGTAATCCGGTATTCGCAACTGAAAATATGTTTTTCAATTATATCAGACTGTCAATAAGCACATGAATTTATTTTTATGATCAAATTGAACAAAAACAATATATCTAATTAACTTTCGCCATGACAATACACAAGACGTACATTATTGGTATTTAACCAATAGTGAAAGCTCTCACTACAATCTTGGCATCATTCACTGCACAGTGAAGCCTACGAAATTGCGAAATTTGCTAGATTACACTAGATTTTGGGTTGCTCCTTGCGTTCAATTTTATATTATTATTATTTAAAAATAAAAATAAACTTAATAAATGATAAATTATTGTTCAAATTAAAATTATTACAATTGTAACTTTATACTACCGATAGTTCATTATTAATAATGCACATAACGCACATAGAGGCCTACTTTTAACTAAATGAGAAAAAACTGGGCTTTATAACATACGATTTGGAACCGAGTTTTGTTTATCTTCTTTGTTTTTTTTTTGGCAAAATTATTGTAATTTATTTTATTAAAAAAAATAATGGGACTTATTAGTGCCACAGTATTTATGTTTTTAATACATTTCAATGCCTGTGAAATGGCTCTAAATGGTGTATAGTGTATTTATAAAGGCTTTCATTTGTTTATATATCTGCTTATTATTAGTGTTGGTTTAAGTTAAAATAGTGCACTGATCTGAGATTATGATGTTACAGGTGGATACAACGCACTGCAGCGGATGTATCGCGACATTCAAGAGCCAATGTTGAATGTGGCTAGCAGCATGGCGGGAAATCCATTCTCTGGTCTTGTGGACAATTCAGGTACGCTTATAATATATATTCTAAGACAACTTTGCCTTAACCTTCTCGTAACGCTGTCTCCCAGGATATCAGCTCAGTATATCAACCCAAGATATCAACACACACACACACACACACACACACACACACACACACACACACACACACACACACACACACACATACACAAACCGCGCGCGCCCGCAAACGCGCACATCACAATACTTCTTATTTTTCCATAGTTCTGACAATAATAATATATCTATGTTTAAATCTAATAGGAAATGTTCGACTAGGTGAGGCTTATTGCCTATATTTTGTATATTTTGAAAGATAACATTAAGTTCAGTATCGAAATGTATAGTTATGATTGGTCTTCCTTTGTGTTGACATCGACGCTGCTAGTTGTGACTGCGGGGGTGTTTGTACTTTGTTGGTTGTGGTGTTGTTACTATCTAAACTCGTTTTGTGGCTACTGTTTTCTGTATCTAGGATCTGAGGCTGGGACGTTTCCGTGGTTTGTGGGGGACTTTTTACATACTCTTTACCATTTAAAGGGTCCGCCATCTAACTTTTTTTTTTCAACTAGTGCTTATTTCGTGAATGGCAACACTTAGCTCATGTCTAATTTGACAGATAATTAGTTTTATCCTTCCGCTGAACGAATATGGTTGTGTATACGCTTGAACAACGCTGGGAAATATTGCGACGTTACTTTGAAAATCATGGTAATGTTGCAGAATGTGTGCGAAAATTGCGTACGGATTTTGGAAGAAATGAAGCACCGTCAGCTCCGTATGTTCGTTACCTTGTGAAAAAAGTGAAAGAAACTGGCATCCTCATCGATAAACCAACGCGTGAAAAGCCAAAAACAGTGCGTACACCCGAGAATATTGCTGCTGTGGCCGAAAGTGTGCGTGAAACGCCATCAACATCAGTTCACCGTCGTTCTCAACAATTGGACATTTCGGAGACATCATTGAGACGAATTTTGCGTAAAGACCTTGGTATGACGCCGTACAAAATCCAATTGGTTCAGGAGTTGAAGCCAACTGACCATCCAATGCGTTTTCGCTTCGCTAAGTGGGCCTGCGATCGACTTGCAGAAGATGCGGATTTTGCCAAAAAATCATCTTTTCAGATGAAGCTCATTTCGAACTTGGCGGGTATGTAAACAAGCAGAATTGTCGCATTTGGGGCACAGAAAACCCGCACGCATTCATCAAAAAGCCGGTACACCCAAAACGAGTCACTGTTTGGTGCGGATTTTGGTCCAGAGGCATAATTGGGCCATTTTTCTTCGAAAACGACCAAGGTGTGGCCGTTACAGTCAATGGCGATCGTTATCGGGCCATGTTGAACGAATTTTTGTTCACAGAAATTGAAGAGGAGGATATTGGCAACATTTGGTTTCAACAAGACGGCGCAACGTGCCACACAGCCGACGCTACACTTGATGTTTTGCGCCCTGTTTTTGAAAATCGCATTATCAGCCGCAGAGCTGATGTCGTTTGGCCACCTCGGAGCTGCGATTTGACACCGTTGGACTATTATTTGTGGGGTGCCGTCAAAGATAAGTGTTACGCCGACAAGCCAGAGACAATTGAGGCTTTAAAGGACAATATTCGTGAAGCCATTGGTGAAATACAGCTGCACACAATCGATAATGTACTCAAAAATTGGACCGATCGTGTAGGCTACTGCATGGCCAGCCGAGGCAGCCATTTGAATGAAATTATTTTCCATCATTAACCGGAAGGATTGTACTTTCAAATAAAAAAAGAAATTTGAAAAAATATTTAGTAGTTTTTTTTAATAGCATTTTAAAAAAAAAGTTATTTGGCGGACCCATTATATACACTTTATTTTTTATTATAGCATGTTTACCATTTTGTTTAACTAATTTCAGGTTTTCCCGGAGTTCTTAGCGATTTTCGAACGCTTTTTTATCCATGAACATCCCAACAGCCAGTCCTGAGTTCTGAAAGATGCTAGAATTTTCTATCACATATTTCGTTATTCTCTTATTTGTTAATTCTATAGCTAAGGATTTGTGGCCTCCTCGTTTTCCAATACGCCTTATCTCTCCTATGTATGGATCAATGTTTACATTCATTATGTTATGAAAGGCTCTGGAGATACGGTCTATAAGTTCGTATTCCGTTTCGTGATGTACTTTTAAAACTCTGAATAATTAGTATTACATTTACATTCTTCGTATTGAGGCATATTGGGTGGTAATAGTAGTGTCCTCGAGTGTCCTAATTTATATTAGTATTATTGACATAGTTGTGTTGGTGGTTTATTTTTCAAGAGGTAGTGTAGTTAGTTCCGTGTGTCATAGATAGCGCTTTTCGTGGTTTGTATGAATTGTTATGATTGTTGTGGTAAAATTCAAACAGAATAACGAACAAATTTTTTTACACTTACGTCTTGAATAGTTTTAGCGAGTTTATTTAGTATTTTCACTGTAAAAGTTATTGTAGCTTATTGGAATGTCACTATTATGCAATTTTATTAATTTTTTCAGAAGTTTTGAATTCAATAAATAATGATTTCGGGGACACTAAGACATTTTTATTTTCTGTTGCTAGTTTTTTTTATTATTAATTAAAATCAAAAGGTCTTCAATTATAAAATTACCTGTACGTACTGATTGTTGTTTCTTTAGATTTTAACTCATTTACATTATCATGTCATCAAACGTCGAAATCAACAAAAAATAACTAATAATAAGGTAATAAAATTATAAAAACAATTTAAAATTAAAAATTTTGTACAACCGACTTCAATATAAATTATTAAAGATAACTCAAAAACTATTGATCAGACCTTGATCAAATTTATATGGAACCACATGAGAAACACCAGCTTTCAAATAAAAAAAGAATCATCGAAATTGGTTTACCAGTTATGAGGTAACACACATAAAAAAAGAACATACAGTCGAGTTGAGTACCTTTTTCAAGTCGGTAGAAAATCATTTTGATCAAAATGAACCATGATAACTGAGAGAATGTAACTAATCGCTCGGAGTCAGTATGAGTCAGCAATGTTACATTATTTACATCTCGTTAGCCTTCTCATGTATTTTATATCTCACGTAAATTGCTTATAGACGGTACAAATCCACAACAAGGTGCCGAAAACCGGCAGCCATTGCCGAATCCGTGGCAGCGCGGTGGTGGAGGTGGTGGCACTGGCACTGGTACTGGTACTGGTGGAACTGGTCCTGGTCTCATCAACACACCTGGCATGCAGTCGCTGCTGCAACAGATGTCTGAGAATCCGCGTCTAGTGCAGTCCATGTTGTCCGCGCCCTACACCAACAATATGCTTCAGGCACTAGCCGCGGATCCTGATATGGCTTCACAACTTATCAATCAGGTATGTGGTATTATTAAATTTAATATGTTGTTTTTTTAAACCTTAAAATGACAAAAAGCTGTTAGTCTCGGTTTGGACGCAGGTAACTGACTTTCAGGACTAAGATAGAATACAATAATAAATATTATGTTCAAAAGCTTTTAAAAAATTCCCTTCGCAAACATCCACGCTATAAAATAAAATGATGTCTTACCTAGTATGAAGAGCACCTCCCGCCCTTTTTTATAGCGCGGATGTTTGCGAAGTAAATTTTTTAAAAGCTTTTATATAATGGGTTTCCGCAAAGTAACGCCTGATTCTATTAATAATATTATGTTCGACATGAACTGACGTTATCGCTTTTTGTATGAAAATGTACCGCTTCACAATCCTCTTAAAGTTCACATCAAAACAAAAATATATATATATATAAAAAATTAAAGCTAATACACAACCACTCGGTTAAATTACAATCAATGATCATAGCAGTTGAGTTCTTTGTTTTGAATAAGAGTTAAGTTGTTATTGCTACATTCTTATTTTGCAGAATCCGATGTTTGCAAACAATCCACAGTTGCAAGAACAAATTCGTACAATGATGCCCCAGATGCTGGCACAGTTACAGAATCCCGAAATGCAACAGATGATGTCCAATCCGCAGGTAATAATTCTACATATTATTTATATTAAGTAAGAATAGTAAGTTTAGAAAACCTTACTACCTTCTTCATCTATATGGAAAGGAAAAATATTGTTTCCATTTTAAGTATATTGCGCGCACGGAAATGTGAGATTTGGCAAAGTTAAGTTTATACGGAGAAAAGATGCACTACAGGGGTGCACTTTTTACAAAGCTAAAGTTTATACCTAAAACCCGACTTACTTTTAATGAAGGAGGGCTAAAATTTGTATATAATATGTGTTACAAATACATTAAATTAAATATAACATACATTGTTTACGTTCTACTTACTGCTAATATCAAACACGTAATTGTTGCCTTGGACATATTATGTTATTTGTTGACGTTCATACTGCCAATGTCTCAGAGTAAGTACAAGCATATCGCACCTTTAAAGTAAAACCGTTACTAAACGAAAATTTTCATGAATTGAGTTATCAATGCCATCTATGTAAAATATACGTAAACTACAACATAAACTTGTCATTTTTGTAAAATATTGTATTTTACGCCACCTAGCGGTAAATTAAAGCGTTACTAAACCGAGTTATGATCGGCTCGCGAAATACAATATTGTGTCTATATCAGTAAGAACATGTTCGTCAGTGGCATAACAGTCCATACTATAATTTTTCTTAGAGGTATTAATATGTCAAGACAGTTTAAATTTAGCCATGCTAGGCCAATTAAGAATCAAACAAATTAATGAATAGTTCAAAATATAATCGAACCTTACTAACTTACTGTTTTGTTACAAAACAAATTTGTAATTAAATTTTTAGTGTAATTTATTAATTTAACTTTATTCAAGTGAATTATTATGATTTCGCCGTTGCAAATTGTTTTCTCCGTTTATCTATGGCAAGAGCCGGAGGGAGAGATCTATGGTCATTTCAGTCTGTCAATGTTACAAATGTCATTTATATTTAATTTTATTTTATACATACAATATTAAAAACAAAAGAAACTAAAAGTAGTAGTTTGTGTGAGTGTAAAATTAGTAACTTCATTTAACGTAATTTAATTTGTCTGTTTGTCATTACATTTCCTTTCGTGGTTTGTGAATGTGTTCTGTTTGTGTTTATAAAACTTTAACAACTTTGCTTGATTCCCGGACTCCGAAGACTTCGCCTTTTTCGTTGCACATACGCATGAAACTCTGGACCCTGATTTGCTTAACTATTTGTGCTCTGTTGACCTGGATTGTGGCTTCTTTTGAGAGAAGTTGTTGTGTACTATTATAATAAAAGGAAGCATTATAAAAAAACATCCAACCGCTAAACAGTTGTTTTATTTGCCTAAATTATATTGTATAAAAAGTAATTTCCAAAAGCCAAATCAATATTAAAATGGTTTGACTTTTGGTAATTACTTTGAAAATAAATAATAAATATTGTAATATAGAGCATCCTACGTCGTCGCTGGGCTGTAGGGACGTCGTATATCGCTAGATGGCGCTAATGCTACGATTCTAAGTGATGACTCTATTCCCTATATATAATGTGCTCTGTGATGTTCGTAGAAGAGTGATAACGGAAGTTTAAAGTAACAGTGTTATTATTTGGATAAACACGGAAAAGGTAAGTTGTTAATTTGTTTTAATAGGAAGTGTTACAATTTGTTTAAACACAGTTTTTGTGTTATGAAATTACGCAATTCATAATAAAATTTCATTGATAAAATGTTACTGTTTGTATAGTCACAGTTTGCTTTTTATTTTTTTAGGTATTATTCCAATAACGTTTATCTATAAAGAGTAACCATTTGTTTAGTTACAGTTTTACAATAAGTAAAGAGTAAATTAAATCATATCCTTGTTTACAATAGTGGGACATTTATGTTAGTCACAGTTTATTTCTCTACGCAACGTAAGTTTGCATAAAAATTTTAGAAGTAAAATATTACATTTTGTTTAAATTCCATCTAGTATTAAAATTTACTTCATAGTTTATGAAACAGTTAATAATAACGTTACACATTTCTTTTAGTATCACTTTACTACTAATATAAATAAAAGTTGTACTTAAAGTAACTAAATTTATTTAAGTAAAAATGTCAATTATAATAATTATACGATAATAATAATAAAACCACTTGCTTCAGGTCATGGCGCATTTACGGAACCCACGTTTGTCACGCATTTTGGAGGCTATGGAATCTAAGAAAGATTCCGTAAGTACTGAAAACCCCAAACTAATATCCATGGACGACCTGAATTATAATTTTTCACGCGATGCAAATCCGATTACTGTCGACACTTGTAGATCTCCTTCTTTATTACAAGAACAAGCACTACCTCAGTCCGTTAGTCATACTATAGAAGCTGATGTTCAACCAGTTGATGACGGAATACCAAATCCATATTTGAGCGGTACTGGTTTTCAAGAATTAACTTCAGAAGAAGACCTTACCAGACCAGGTCCTAGCAAGATCCAATTCAACTAGCTCGAAATCATCTTCAAGTTCATCATCAACAAGTTCATCTTCATCTAGTGCGTCTGAATCGGGTCGGGGCTTTTCCCCTGATGAGGCAGATTGTGATGCTGATTATGTACCAGCAACCCCACCTAGGCGTGTATTATTTAGCCCAACTCCTCAAAATAGTATCTCTGTACAACTAGTTGAAGAAAATAATTTGGGTCCCCCAGAACAAAACAGAACTCCGAACAAACGAAGGCGTAAAGGATTTCCAAAAGCATCCGTGAGGCAAGATGCTAAAAGACTTCGTAATAGTGGGCAACAATATACTTCTGTGTCCCAGTTAAAAAAAGTCATGCCAAAGAAGCAGATAGGACCCCCATGTGGGGAAAAATGTAGACTAAAGTGCAGCGAATTGATCATACAGGAAGGCAGAGAAATTATTTTTGACAATTATTGGAAAATGGGAGATTTATCTAGACAAAGAGATTATATTGCAAGTGTATTAGTGTTATTACACCTAAGTATCAATATAAAGTACATAGTAGCAATAGAGGACCTAAACATTCATTTTCATTCGAGATTAACAATATTAAGCATCGTATCTGTAAAACATTCTTCAAGAACACGTTGGCCATTAATAATCGACCTATTGCAACTGTAATAGCAAAAAAGAACCAAGCGGGAACGATTGAAGAAGAAAAAAGGGGTAAACATGGAAAACAGTACAAAATAAGCTCAGATATAATTAAAGGAATAAAAACCATATAGACTCAATCCCAAGAATTGAATCTCATTATGTAAGACAACAAACGACTCGTGAATTTATTGATGGGGGTAAAAACCTTACAGATCTTTATACCGACTACCAAACACAATGCTTGAGTGATGGTGTTGAAGCTGCTAAAATTCATACATATAGAAAAGTGTTTAATGAAGATTACAACATTGGCTTTCACACACCTAAAAAAGACCAGTGCGAACTATGCATTAGCTTTAAAAACGCTGTTGATAAAACAATAGAATTACAAAACAGATACGACCAACACCAGCTTGAAAAAGAATTATGTCGCCAGGAAAAGTCAAATGACAAAACAATGGTTAAGGAAAACTACATTGTTGCCTGTTATGACCTCCAGGCAGTGTTGCCTCTTCCGAAAGGAGATGTTTCTACTTTATATTACAAGTGTAAGCTCAATGTTTGTAATTTTACTATAAGTGAATTAGCGAAAGACTATTGTGATTGTTTTGTCTGGAGCGAGGTCGAGGCATTAAGAGGAGCCAACAAAATAGCAACGTGTGTTTGGAAGTATTTGACAAAGAGGGCATCAGAAATAAATGACAATAATTTACGAATCACATTTTATTCTGATAATTGCTGTGGTCAGCAAAAGAATAAGTTTATGTTTTCTATGTATTTATATGCCTTATCTGTTCTTAAAATTAAGTCTATTACGCACAAATATTTAATTAGTGGGCACACACAAAACGAAAACGATTCTGTTCACTCTGTGATAGAAAAAGCTGTTAAAAAGTGCTTACGTTCTGGTCCTGTGTACACACCAGATCAATACGTGACCATTATCAGAACTGCACGAAAGAAAGGCAATCCTTACAATGTTACCGAAATGTGCTATTCAGACTTTGTTGATATAAAAAATCTTACAGAGATATGTGGTGCTCAATTTTCAAAAAATACTGAAGGCGGAACAGTTAAAATGAGTGACATTAAAATAATGAAATTTGAAAAACATAAGATTTCAACCACATTGGCATTTATTATAAAACTTCCTACTCAGATACAGATTTCAAAGAAATACAATTCCGTAACAATCGTTCGTCTCGAACACGTACTAGCACTGATCTTCAAGATTTCCAGTTGCAGCCTTTATATCAGTTTAGACATTATTTTTAAGTTTTTTACGAGATTAATTTTTTATATAACATTTTATATGGCAATAGGTTTGCCTCATTATTCTAATTAAGTGATACCTACAAGTCAACATAACTTTGATTAGCCCTGAGTAGCTTACGTGGATAGGGAAATAATGCTGTGATTGTAACTTTGATAAATTAAGTAAAATGCTATTTCCAATTGGTTTGTTCCTCGTCAAACTGATTGTAAATGTAATAAGATACATAACAAGTGGTTAACATAGTAAGATACGTACATGCTGTGATTTAAAGGTACAAATTTCTCAAGACTGATTGATAAATAACTATGCCAAATGATTGTATGGATCTCTCTTTACATTATAATAAAACACTATTAATTTTGGAATGTTTTTATTATTTTCTATTATTATAACACCACAGCAAATGCCAACTTTATGATTTTTAATTTAAATGTTAAATAATATTATTGTATTTATTAAATTTTAATAGTTTTCTATTTAGTAACATCAGTTGCACTGTAATTTCATAGTAATATACCATAATGAACAAATTATTAATGGTAAAGTGTTACTATAATAATATAAATCAAAATAAATAATACTGTAAATGAAAACACGTGTCATAATGTACAGAGATCTATAATAAGACCTCATTAATAATGTCTT